GCCCCTAATTCAGAGTCAGATTTGCTTTTGCTGTTCCAGGTCACGGTTATTCTCTTGCAGTTCTTTTATCTTTTTCTGAGCATTTTTAAACTGCTCTTTCCAATTGGTTGCCTCAAGCTGGGCTTCTCTAGCTATCCTCTCAGCCTCAAGAAAAGTCTGATCAGACTCGCGAGCCTTCTTTTCTAAGAGGGAAATTCTTCCCATCAATTCCGTACTAATGAGGTTAGCCTACAAAAACAACTCATGAAAGTTAGAATTAAAAAGAAAGAATTTATTAAAAAGTAAAGGGAGAGTACCTTCAATGTACAGTGAACTATATCATTCATCAAAGTTAGACAACTGTGACTGTCCATCTTCTTTTTCTCAATATCCCCAATTAAGGGTTCAAGCCAAACATCTGCTCTGCCAGACTTCCTTAAAAGACTGCTATTAGCAGGAACCTCAAGTGTTACACTCCTCATAGCCATGCTTCTGCTACTAGAACCCTCTTCTGCATAATGAGCAGAGGAAGGGGGAACTATAGAAGGAGGAACGGTAGAAGAGGTGAAAATAGTAGTAGTCGAAGGAGTCGAGGCAGGTAAGGGAGCAGAAATTGACAAAGAGGCAGGAACAAACAAAGTGGGTAAGGAAACACTTGAAATTAGAGGAGGAACAGAAAGAACAGGAACGGAAGATGAAAGAGGAATTTCATCTAAAATCGGACCTAATTCACCACTTTCGAAGCCCTCAATAAAGAGGCGATGAGTGGATTCAGGGGTGTCCCTTGGAATGGTTTCTTCATCAGAGGTAATAGTAACGGGTTCGTAGGTACGAGCGAGAGAGATTTCAGTTTCATCCTCAGAAACAATGCGCCTCCTGGTTCTAGGACGAGCTGTCAAAGAGGTATCTTTATCTTCATCAACGTCAGAATCCTCTTCAACCACTTTCCTCTTTGACAGCGTGGCTTGTGTTCTTTCCAAAGCAAGAGGAGTACTGGAAGAAGCTCGAAGGGTGATAGCTACTTCAGCTGACATCCCTCGAATAGCAAATCCTGACAATAAGAAGGATAAAAAGTTAAAAGAGAGGAAAAGAATTTAACACACGAGAAGCAAAAAGGGATGTATACCGTGAGTTTTCACTTTCCAACCATGTTTGTTGGAAATAGATTTCCAAGTTCGTGCCTCCATAGGCACGGCTTTCAAGACAGCATCTACCCAACCACGGAAATTAGGAACGGGTTCCACATCTCCCATGGTTGCTACAAAAAAGCAAAGGAATAATAATAAAATTAGAAAAGAAGTTGAAATAACGAAAGCAGATACGGCAAGGAAGAAAATACTTACGTGCAAAGTTCCATTTCTCAGGAAAAGGAATTTTTGATTCACCCACCAAATCAATTGTGGGAACAGCAACAAACCGGGTGTACCAGCCACGGTCGTTATTATCTTCAGGGTTAACCAAAACCCTCTTACTTCTTGTAGATAAGGTAAAAATACCATTGCGGAATAGCTTGGGGGTGATAAAGATGAATTAGATGAGGGAAAGTAAAGTCAACATCAGCTTTGGTGACATATACCTCAAACAAGCTACTGCTCTCCATACGAGGGGACCAACTTGAGCCAAACAAATTTTGAGAAAACGACAGAAATCAAGTATGACTGGGTCAATAGCAGGAATAAATCCCAAAGTAAAGGGATAAGTGTAAACGAAAGAAAAGCCAACCCTATAAGAAGATATTCTTTGGTGTGGGGTAGGAATAACTATGTGGGTGTCATCTCTCCAACGACAGTCTCTTCGAACAATTTGAATCAAAGGTTCAGTAATTAAAGAGGGATATTTATCAACTCTCTCTAATTTAATCACTTGGTCACGAAGGGATTCTTTGTCATGTTCGAAAGATAAATCCGTTGGCACAATTTCTTCAACCAGAGGCTCTTGGTTAGACTCAGAAGGTTCTTTGCCCTTAAAAGTGGATCTGTTAGAAAGAGAGCCTCTAGAGATATTGCCAGAACTAGAAGAAGGAGTGATGGAACCAGAGGTACCACCATGAACCGACCCTGTACAACGAAGCACACCTCCTCTACCTCTTCTATGTCTAGCAGGAGCATTGGGGAAACTATCAAGAATTGGGACTCTTTTAGGGTTAGGATTCGAAGACGACATAGTGAGAAGATATGAACAGAAGGTATGAACTGAAGAAGAAGTGAACGAGAGTAAATAGCAAGAAATTTGGTAAAAAGCTTGTGAAGAAGAAGACAAAGGAAAAAGGGGGCAAATTTATATATAAACTCAACCGTCGATAATTAAGAAGTGTAATGATGGAAAGCCTATAATAAAGGCAACTATCACTTCGTGAATAGTGGAGTTAAAGAAGCCTTAGGAAAAGGCTGCAAAATCGCAGAACTAATGAGAAGGTGACACGTATATGGTGCATTAAATAGAAGAGACAATTGAAGCGTCGACATTGTCATAGCATTGATTATGGCAAAAATTCCCTTTTTAATGAAGATCCACTTCCCAAATATTTAATTGATAAATAAATGAAAAGTGGGGGGATTATATGTATTGGGAAAAAACTGAATTTATAATTGAAGATGACGTGGCATGACACGTGGACTGGTCAAATGGTCAAAACATGATGATCGGTTAAGAGGCACGGGCAATATCAGATACGAGGAGAAGAAAGTTAAATAGGCACGAGATGATATTCAAATGATACGAGTCTCGTATCTATTTAACTTAATTAAAGCCAGGAGGTCAGAAGGAATTGAAGATATGAATCTGATGGCATAAAGGAGTCTAAATTCAGTATTAAATGTCAAATACGTTAGCGAATCAGTATTGAATAGGAATGATTGTGTAACGTTTCATTTAATATCATTTAATGCTCATAATTGCCTCTTTAAGGCTAAGACATTATACCTTTTCCTAGAAAAATCAACTATAGAAGGAGGAGATCTCAGCATTTGTAAGGACACGAAATATCATTGAGATTACATTGAAATACAAACTTATTTACTGCTTTATTATCCTCAAAATTTTCTTATTCTTTTCGTCTCCTGATTATCAGTAACCCGATTTTTCCTCTTAATTTCTAGTTTTAACCGAAATTCTATTTTTTTGGTTAAACAGCAGTCATTCATAAATTGAGCTTTGTAGTAAGTTGCTAATTGTTTTAAAAGAGGTCCTTTTGCTGTTTATTTTTGTTAGTTCCCTGGACTACAAGTCTGAAAAAGTTCACCCTTCTATTCTGGAGTCCTTACACAGAAGATGATGGTTTACCGTTTATGTTATTATCCTGTTTGTTTATCTAATGCATTATCCTATTTACATTGCGAAACAAAGAAAACAAAAGAATGGACGTAGTGGCATAATACATCTTAATTATTTTTAACTCGAACAGAGTATGACATAATGCTTTTACGTTTTTAATAATCCTCGCAGCTCTTCCTATGATCATGGAACAGATTATGAATGAGCTTTAGCTAGATTGTTTAGCCGTTCTTAGTGAAGTGTATTCTTAAGTAGGCAGTTGTTGGTGAGGCCAATTAGACTGCAGCCTAGCCTTTCGCTTGTCCATTAGTCTGCGTCAAGTGCAACTTTGTTGATTTCATTCTCTACTCAATACATGATCATAGACAGAATAATGCACTCGGGTTATGTCATATTTACCTGTGAAAAAAGGTTTGGAAGAATTAGTACGTATTAATTTGTTTCGAACTTGAAAGAGATAGGTAATTGATATTAATAATCATTGTAGTCTATAGATACTCTTGCCAATTGAAACATCCTTCATGGCGTGTAAGCATATTTTCAAGTACTTTTTATTGGGTCCTCAAGGAGTTCATCCATCACTTTTTTTGAATACATTTGATGCAGTGCTGCAGAAACAAACATCCATCTCTTTGGAGTGTTATGTTTTTATGCTTGTTGGTTAGTGATATCAACCACTTACCAACATCACTTATCTTAGGTTCAAGAGATTGCCTGAAGACTACTTATCAAAGAAAGTGAAAGTCTAAAGAGAGAGGCCAATATGTGAGTGTATGTATACATATACATATATATATATATATATCGATTTGCTTTGGGGTAAAATATTTATGTAACCCGATTAATGAAGGAAGGTTACCGCGATGTCAAGTACTGCAGTGTTAAAAACGAAAAGAACAACTTGCCAAAAGTAGTGAATTACAGGCACTCTAGGACTAGAGATAACAGCTTTGCTTACTCTATTTTACTTCTATTTTTCAGGTATCTCAAGTACCTTGTCAAAAAGTACTTGAAGAAAAATAATGTTAGGGATTGGCTTAGGGTGATTGCTGCCAACAAGGACAGGAATGTTTACGAATTACGATACTTCAACAAGGACAGTAATAAAACACAAATGCTTTCTGTGATATCATTTCAGAAAAACATAAGAAACAAACTTGAGGGCTTTTGGGATAAAGCAATTTGCGACTTTAGACAAATCGTTACTCAGAGGAATTTTTTTGAAGAATATTTCCAAAATCTTCCAAATTTCTATAGTGTCAATATTTTTTGCTTCTTATATGTTCCACAAGTTGTATTTAATGAATCTGAACCCCCCCCCCCCCCC